AGATGCATTCTATTTATTTTCTATTCATTCATTATTTTATCCATAAATACACATTTTAATGATATGCATTAATGCAGGTACTTGTTTAATACATACTATGTTACTAAAATGTAAAATCTTTGAGGACATTTGATTTAGTAATGAATGATTATCATAAACCAGGTTTTAGATTTGTACAGGGACCAAATTCAAGCATATTGTCATGTCAAAGAATTTGAATTTATCCTCTGGAGCTGTGAAGAACCACAGGAAACTTGGAATTAAGATGAAAATATAGTCCAGTTTCAGTTTAGCATCGTGTTCATAATTTTTCTATGACATACAGACAAAATAAGTTAGACCATAGGAAAAACTGACTAAATAAACCTTACTAATATGATTCAGAATGGAATGTCAAAGGGCTAAATTAAGCCAGAGAAACATCATATCAGGAAGCACAATTAATAAATTTGAATAAGGTGTCAATCAATGACTATGTTCCTAGGGACCTGGCTAAACTGCAAAGATTAATATATCCTGTTTCCTGTAGATCAATGCCTGAGCAAGGACAAGAGGAAAGAGACTTGAACAGAAGAGCAGTCCGGTGTGGCACACATACCATAAAGGCTTCAGCTGACTACACAGGGACTCCAGAGCTTGAATACCCACTTGCTTTAAATCCCTGGTTGGGACTGTCAGGCTGGCCCTTTACATTCCCTGATTGATTCATCACTAGATATGAGCTTCCTGCATAAATAATGACTTGGGTGTACGTTTGTCCTTAGGCAACATCTGAAGGAGTCTGACTGCTTAGAATGTCTTGTTACAACCCTCTTAGGAACTAAAAGGAACATTTGGGTATAATATCACAGAATCTCCTGTAAGTTCCCACTCACTCAAGAGCTGAGAAGAAAAAGATAATAAAAAGGAATGAGAGTTATGAGAAAGAGGAAAAGCTAGAGATAAAAAAAAAATCAGAAGTTACACCCCATCTGAAAATAGCAAAGACCCTGGACACACATGATAGTCCCGAGAAAGAGTATATGACTGAAAGGTGTGTTAAGGTATATATGAAGCTCTGAAAGAAAACAGACCTGATTAACCACGCCTCTCAAAAGAAGAACCAAAGAATGAGAAAAGGGTAAAGAGGTAGCAAGCCTGATAACATAAGAAGAGCAAATAAAGTGAATCCTAATAGCAAACATTTTTTGTGAGTTTATTAGAGGCCAGATACTTTGCACACATTATATAATCTTCAAAGAAGCCCCATGAAGTCAGCCACATTGTCGTTATGTTTTCTCCTAGAACTAGAAATGCCTATTTTAAGAGATTCAAAAGTCCACTCAAGATGGATAGCCAAAATATCAAAGGACTGAATTTCTTCCCCAAACATTTATTCTTTACATAAACAGATGTTGATTGATAATCACCTTTACAGAAAGACCCAGAAAGCAAACTTAGGGAAGGATTCATTGGTGATAGTAGATAGGATGTCTGGATTGTCTGTCACATTTCCTGTATCCTGGAGCATCCAGTGATGTTAGGCAGAAGACAAAAGTGCAAGTGAAACAAACTATGAATATTCATATATGACAAGGAATGTAGGTTCAGAATTTAGAGATCATTGACACAGATACAGACACAGACAAAAACAAAGATATATTAAAGAAAGCTAAGACATTTGGGTTGACAATGTTCTCCACAGAATCATAGACTAACAAAACCCCCAGTATCATGCTGGAGAAACTTCCTTTTACATGGTCTCAAAGGAGTCCAAGTGACTCCCATTACAACATAGAATCTTGAATATTTATAGACTATTATAGAGTGTTTATCCCATGGTTGCCTCAGAGGTTGAAGGGAAACTCCTATTGCTGAAGACACTGCACATTTAGAACCCAGAAATTGGGTGATTCAAGCTGGATCTTCTCTGAAAACCTCCTTCCTTTGATTTAGCTTCCATGGTACAAGAAAATACTATGCAGCCTGCCAAAGGAAAGAAACAATAGCCCTACTCACTCAGCTGTATCTGTGGACCACAACAATGACAAGTGTGACATGATACCCGAAAACGTACATAAGTGACACTTAGATATTAATGATAACCGATAGCGATCTTATGGACTACTCTCCTCAGTAGGAGGGAAATCATGACTTCTGTTAAAAACTTATCCTACTTCTGGGGACTAATGAGGTCATGGAACAGTAAAGAATCTATTACCACCATTTTGCTAGACTGTCATAATTCTGAACTAAATTCTAAATCCTATTTTTACAACCACAGATGAATATAGTTACCATCCCTCATCAAAGAAACGTTTTGTTATAGCAAATGGAGACACAACTGGCCATGGTGAGTAGTTCAACAGATCATGAGAAGCCCAGCCCCAGTGGACATATCCATCATTGCTCCTGAATCTCCAACTCAGAGATCCTCCTGGAAGAGGAGGCAGAAAGATTTTGAGAGCCAGAATACCAGAAATTATGCTGTGAAACAGTCTCTTCTGGAAATGGGTGCATAAACAAGATTGGAACAATGGCAATCTCAGTAGACATCTTAACGTGGAAGGGGGGTGATGGACTTCAAGGGTTCCCACTTGTAGAAAAGGAATTACTGGAAAGTGATGATTGTTGAAAGAGGAAGAATTAGTCTCACATAGAGATGAGTCCCTTTATTAGTCAGGCCTGAAACAATATAGATAAAAAGAACAAAAAGGACTTAGCATGATAATTTACATACTTGTGAATTCATATAAATGTGTGTCTCTGTGTGTGTGCATGTGTCTGTGTGTGTAATAATCATAATCAAAGAAAAAGAAACCATCAATTTAATAGTGGTGGGAGACATGGGCAGAGTTGGAGGGAAGAAAGAAAATGGGGAGAATTCTGTGTTAAAACTATAGATTTTTTTTTTCAGAAGAAAAAATAGAGTGGAAGATTTTTGTATATGCCTATTTTCTAAAGGACAACTCAAAGAACAAAAAAGGTTCAGGTGCAAAGAGAAAAATGAGGACTGGAAAGGTCCCCAAAGCAGGTTGCAGGTGATGAGGGTCTCAGCAATATTGAGGGAAAAGCAATGTTTTCTCCTCAGCACAAAGAATTGAAGGCAGTGTGAGAATTAGGTGTGACTTTTAAGCACGAAAGCCAAAGGCTCTTCAACTATTTATGATTCTGAGATTAGTCTTACCTGCAGTACACAGCACTGTGTTCTAAGTCAACACACTCTCACTTAGGTGTACTTCTAAGAGGAGCCAAATGGCCTCACTGAGTGGAAAACCAAACAGCTGGAAAAGAACAGCCGTCTGGAAATTTCCACAACTAAGTGAAGTTAGGGTTGACATTGGGTTGGAATGAGGAAAAGCATGGGGAACAAGGAAGAAGAGAGGAAGGTTGCAAAATCAGAGCTCTGTTTCCCAATCCTGGCAGGGTGGGAAAGGCTAAGCTTCAGAACTCAGAACAAAGGGTCCTAAAGCCCTTCCTCCTGACTGCTGACAGGAAGCTGTCAACCACTCAGATCATCTGCTTCCTCAGTGAGTCACACGCTGAAGACAGGGAGTTCCTGGAGCATCCATCCTAAGAACACGTAGACTCCAGAAGTCTGCGAGTGCTGGCCTGTCCATTAATTCTTTGCTCTGTATCTCACCAGAATGGAAGCTCATCTGCACACTGTGATATCTTCCAAGGAAAGACTAAATGGCTTGTTTACATTAGATTAAAATGATTCCCTTGAGATGTACTAAAGAGTTAAAAAGGTCCATGCTCCCTACTGAGAGTCCCAGGGAAAGCACATTCCAGAATGCAGAAGTTATACATAATGTTCAAAGGAAGCCCAGTTGAATTTTGCTTCAAAACAATTTGAGACAAATAGGGAAAAGGTAGTGCCAAATGTCAGATTCATATGAAAGTTTTCGACAAATGCTTCTCCCTATTCTGCTCTTGCAGCAGACTAAATATAGGGAGGAAATGCAAGAAATTAGTTCAAAGCTTTCCTCTGAGCAGATATCACCCCTGAACACTGTAGAACTCATCTTTTTCATCTAGTAAAGATGCAGCTTTTAAACTGCAAAGATACCTTCTTGCTATGAAGAGATGTGCATGAGAATTTAGAGTGATATTGCAGCTCAAATGGCAACTTTATATTTTTCAAAAAACTGGAATGTCCACTTTCAGCTTCAAATGAATTTCAAGCTGTCATTGAAGAACTACCTAATGACAGTTTGTGTACTAACTGTCTTTCAGCAGGGGAAGAGGTGCCATAAAGTAGCTAGTAGGATAATTGCTAGTATATTCAAACAATTATAAGTAATAATCTTCTTGGTCTCTCCTTTCAGGGTCAGAAGAGTAATTGTGAAATTTCAATCCCTTGCTAAGGATTCTTCCTAAATCTTTCTAAGTATTCCTAGTCTTATTAGATGTCCTGATGTCATATAAGTAAACATTTCTCTCTAGTCATAAATATTAGTGAACCCAGAGTTGATGAACAACCTTTGGAAAAGAGGCTTCACACAAGAAGAAACTGGTAGACAAAGCCCAGAACGGTTTTCGTTTTATCTCAGAAAAACTGCCAGAGTTTTGGCATCTTCAAATTCTTAACCACATATACTTTCATATCAGAATGCTTTTTAGATGAATGTTTTCAGCTCTGTAATTAGCAATGCACAATGGATGCTTTGGTACTTAATTACAGCATCTCTAAAACAATAATATGAGAAATGCTAAAGTTGAAGGCAGTATTTCTTGACACACCTCTGCCTACATTCTTATTGGCTGGGACAGAATTATATATGCTTAGTGAATAAACCAAACAGAAATGAAGGTGTGTGCGGGAACAGCACACATGAATTTACAACAGGTACTTCAAGTTAGGCCAAGTCCAGCTGCTGCTGCTGATTCGTACTAACAAATCATGGGAAACAGGAGTGGAGAAGACCAGGCACTCCTCTAGCCTGGAAGAGTTTCCCATTCTGCATCTTGAGCATCTTCCAGCCTTCCAGGCTGGACTAGTCTGCAAAGAAAATACAATGGCTTTTTATCCTCTTCAGATTGCTGGACTGGTTCTTGGGTTCTTCGGTTTGCTTGGGACGGTTGGCACAACACTTCTGCCTCAGTGGAGAGTATCGGCTTTCATCGGCAGCAACATTATTATCTTTGAGAGGATCTGGGAAGGGCTTTGGATGAACTGCATCCAGCAAGCCATGGTCACGCTGCAGTGCAAATTCTACAACTCCATATTGGCTCTCCCACCAGTCCTGGAAGCAGCGCGCGCACTCATGTGTGTGGCTGCAGCTCTTTCCTTGATTGCTCTCATTATTGGCATCTGTGGCATGAAGCAGATTCAGTGCACCGGCTCCAGTGAGAGGGTCAAAGCCTACTTGCTGGGAACCTCAGGAGTACTCTTCATTCTCACTGGTATCTTCGTTCTGATTCCAGTGTCCTGGACCGCCAATATCATCATCAGAGATTTCTACGACCCAACCGTCCACGCTGGGCAGAAGCGAGAGCTTGGAGGAGCTCTTTTCCTTGGCTGGGCGACCGCCGCTGTCCTCTTCATTGGAGGAGGGCTGCTCTGTGGTTACTGCTGCTGCAACAGAAAGAAACAGTGGTACAGATACCCAGTTCCCGCATGCCGTGTGCCACAAAAAGATAACCAAAGGAGGGTGACAGTGCCTAGCAAAACTTCCACCAGCTATGTCTAAGGCTCGCTTCCAAAGTCAGCCAGTGGCTTATGCTCTTGTGTTTTATAAAGTCGTCCCAGAAACTGTGAGTACATCAGGCAGGAAAACTACCTTCATAGCAAATTTAAATTGAGAAAACAGTTTTGATTTTTTTTTAACCTCAGGTAGGAATATAAATGACTTATTTGGACATTGTAATTCCCTATGTATTATCTGTGCTCACTCTTGTTGAACTCAATATTTATTCCAACTTAAATAGTAAAATATCAAGTATATTCTCAGTTATGGACATGTGGTAATGCTCTTCTCAATTATATATTATAATAAGAAAGTAAAATTTCAAATGATAATCCTTATCAATAAAGCATACACATATTTTTAAAGGTAACTTGTTATTTTTCACTCCATTTTTTATTACATACACAGTAAATGCTAAGTGATGATAATTGTAGAAAAATAGTCCTGAAAAACTTATAGATTAAATTATTTTGGTTGAACTCTTCAAAGGATGTAAATGACTAATAATAATTAATTTTTTTCTGGGAAACATATGAAAAATTCAACATTCTTAAGGATAAAGGGGTTCTGGTTTTTCTATGTAAAATGATTTTCAAAGTCTCCAATTTATGTATGTTAATTTTTCTTGGACCCAGCCATTCAAAGAAAATAATTTATAAATTAAAATAATGCACTCTCAAGGTTTATGATTTGTACATTCAAACAGAATTGTTCATCTGGATTAGGCAAAGAGATAAATGAAGACAATTGAAATTCTTGTTGAAGCAATCCACAGGCTAAAGCACTGAAGGAATGGCTTCAGTTCCTTGTCCTGTTTAGTCAGTGTACAGGTCTAAACATGCAAAGAGAAATAAAGAGCCAAGGTAGTTATTCAGATAATTAGTTGAGCTAAAATAATTCCTACTTTTTATATTCATTAATAGACAAGCAGTGATATTGATGCATTTTGCTTTGCTTGAAACATATTTTCTCAGTTCTTGCATACCTTGTGTTCTTAAAAATGGTATTGGGCATGAGAGAAGAATATGGATATAAAATGTTAGTAAGGAAATCTTCTCTTGTAGGTAGCTTCTAATAGCTTTGCTATGCTAGTGTTTACACATTCAATATTAATCCTTAAGCAATATATTTATTTAAAATAAAATATTTAATATTCCATATGTAAATTCATAAAAGTTTTAATTTGTTCACCAAAGGATTTTTTATTCATGTTTATCATAATATAATAAGCTAATAAAATAGCTATGTATTCCAATGATGTTGATTTATTTAGTTACAAGATTAGATGGAGAATGCATATCTATCCTTAAGAGTTAACCTATTAACTAGAACATTAATTTAGCAATAACCCAAAGCTAGGTCCTGTATGAAACTCTTCCTTTATTCTACAAATGAACCAAATCTTCAATAATTCAAACCTTTTACAAAAACAAAATTACATTTGAAACATTAGGAATGCTAAAGTTGACATGGAACATAACTGCAAATATTTTCAAATAAAAGCAATAAAAAAATTAAAAAGTCATGTCAGCGAGGTTTTCTGACTATTTTCTTTTACCTGTAAAAACCTAATATTGTTGTTCTGAGAAGGAGTCATTTATCTTACACAGTTGAGGAGGTAAGCCATCAAGAGAATGGAGACATGTGCTTAAAGGTTGTCAGGTAATCATTTGTCTTACCTTTTGATTCACCTAGAAATAATTAGCTTTACAAGAATGGGCCTGTAATCCTAAATGAAGTATATCTTTCTTCTGGCCAGTGAATCAGAGAGTAAAAGGTTTCATTCTGGGTGGAGTCATGAGATAGTGTTAGATACTGAATATTCTGCAAAACTCATTAACAGATTCGTTGCCTGCCTTTCCATTAATTAAGGCATACTTTTGAAATGTTAATTTTTCATCTTACAGTGGGCTGAGATATTTTCTCTAATACAACAAAACACACTAATTTTCAGTTAACTTCAAGACACATTATAAATGCAAATTACTTATCACAAACCCAGCTTATACAAAAAATATATCTCCATTTTCTAAGATTTGACTGAAATTCAACTTTGTGGCATTCAACTTTGTATTATCAAGTTCATGGAACCAATGCAGAATTTATGACGTTTCTAATGTGCAAATATGATTACTAGGTCTAGACTTAATAAATATTTGAGGATGCATAAACAATGTACAGACTTACAATAGCTGCAGATTTTAACCAGTATGGGTTCATTCCTCCTCTAGGACAGAGATAAAACAAAAGAACTCACGAAATGTAAAAATGATTGTTATTCTTCAGTCTGAGTGTGTGCATTCTGAGGCAGCTGTGAGTAAAGTGCAGCTTGGATCAGTGAAGCCATTTTTCCTCAAATTTATGATTATGGAATGAGTTCATAAAAAATTAAAGCAGAAGACCAGAATTAAGAGACACTAAGTATCATTGTCTCTAGAGCACTTAGGTGCCAGGCTCTCTCTCTCTCTCTCTCTCTCTCTCTCTCTCTCTCTCTCTCCCAATACTTGAGGTAAGGACTTAGGAAAACGATGAACTCTCAAGTTGGTTCAAAAACCCAAGGACATATAGAGCTATGTCCCTGATTTACATGACAGGGAGCATGGCTGTGTTTCAGCAATCCATGTAGGATATAGGGAAATAAAAAGAGGTAAGAAACATTAGCATGATTTGTTTAGTTTGACAGGTAGAAAATCTTTCCTAGATTGCCAGAACTAGACCACCATGAGAGTGAAGAATATCACCCCCTTAACACACACACACACACACACATACACACACACACACGCACACGCACACGCACACGCACACGCACAGGCACACATGCTTGCAAATGTGACCGTCTTTTCTGATGCTGAGGCTGAGTCAGTAGTAGCACACAGTCATTTGTCCTCAGAGCAGTCCTTTGTATCCTTGTCTTTCTGCCAAGGTCAGTCCCTTCACCTTTGCCCCATGGAGTTCAACTGCCATCCTTGGTTGAGGGACATCACCTACAACAAATTACAAAGCATGGGGGGAGGGAATGATATAACTACATTAACACTTGTAAAAATAAGAATTGTTTTAAAGATATAAATATTAAAACTATCTAAATGCCGGCTCTTCTCTGTACCATCTTTAATTGGTAACTTTTCTAAATAATGCCAGATATAAAAACTGTTGCTTAAAGAGAAAAAGGAAAAATGTCCTGGTTTTCTCAATGCCCAAACAAAGTGATAGAAAACAACAACATCGAAATATCTAACCAACTATTTTTGTGCTGGGTTTTTTTTTTTTTTTGTTTTTTTTTTTTTTTTTGTTTTTTTTTTTCGAGCTGTTTTTGTGTTGGCCATCTATGGGTGGTCACATATACCCTTTGGAAAAAAACTGAGTGTTTTGTGTTTGGTTTGTTTGTTTGTTTACTTTGAAAATTGTTGTTAGTTGGGGTAGCTTTTGGTTAAGGATGAGAAGTCATGTTTACTTAACCCTCTTAGCACCAGGGCTCTGTCTGACTCAAATTTGTTCATGCCATATGTATGCTGGCTCTGTCTCTATGATTTCATGTGTTTGTCAGTCCTGTTGTGTCTGGAAGACACTCTTTTCTTGGTGTGACACATCCCTTCTGGTTCTTACAATCTTTTGAGCTCCTCCTCTGCATAGCTTCCTGAGCCCTGGGGGAAGGGATCTGATGGAGATATCTCATTTAGGAATGAGTGTTTTAAAGTTCCTCATTCTCTGAACATTGTCTATTTGTGGGTTTCTGTATTGGTTCCCATTTCAACATAGGAAGTTTCTCTGATAATGGCTGAGTGGGTCACAGTCTATGAGAATACTGAGAACAGTATTGTTGTTAGGACTTATTTTATTGAGGTTCCTTTAGCAGAACAACAGTATTTGGTTTTCCCCCCAGTCCACGGCCTGTCCAGTCTCAGGTTCCTGTCTACTGGAGCAGTGCTGAGCATGGTCCATCTTGTGGAGAGAGCCTTACATCCATTAAGATAGTTGTTGGTCACTCCTACAGTGTTTGTGCTGCTCCTGCAGCAGCACATCGTGCAGGGAGGTCGCCATTGTAGGTTTCAAGGCTTGTGGCTAGGTTGGTGTTTACCTTGCTCATCTGGCAGCAGGCAGAATACCATGAACTTTTCTGGTACCAGGGACACCAGACAATATGGGTAAAGAGTCTAGTCTGGCACCAGCTGGAACCACTTTTCCATGTGGGTTTTGAGTCTGCAATAAATACCTGCCACTCCCCAAACCCAAAGAACGTAAAGAAATCCTCATTAAATAACTTACTTTAACAAAGCACAACTCTTTAAAAGAGTTATATGTGTATGCCAAAATACCTGGCACTTTGGAGCTGGCAACAATTTACAGAGATAATGAATATTTCATGAATTAATGAAGAAAAATTTAATCAGCATATAATAAAATATGGCACCTAGGGGAAATCAGAGACTTTAGTAGTCTTGCACTTTTAATGTTGTTTTAAAAGAGGATTTCCAAGAAATTATTTATTTAATGGGTAGATACTATTCACTAAGGAACAATTCAAGTCAAGTAACATGCAAAAAACAGACTTTAAAATCGAGCAAAGCTGTGGTTTCAACTGAGATTGTGACTTAGAGAAGCCCTGAAGTTTCTAGCAAAAATGATGACTTAAACAAGTACTTCAAAGATTAAAAAGTAGATAAGGCTGCAGCAATTATCATTGATATTTTTGATATGATAAAGATGTGCCTGACATTTTCAGGTTCATCTGACCTTTTGACATAGTAACATCATATAGTTGAGAATTGTACAATCAAGTCACAAAATCAATTTTGTAATGTTTTAAGTTAAGATTGCAATTTTGTGTTTGGAGCCCATGCATCCTGGGGTACATGCTGACTATAAGTGCAGACTCTACACACCTGATAGAGCAAAGAATTCTCTCATTGAGGATTAATTGTCAACTCCCACCATGAATAACAAAGTTAACTCTGGGAATATGTGGCAGAAATGTGTCAACTAGATTAGAAGAAGCAATC